AAACCGACTGTGCAGTCTAGTGCATTAACCCACAGCGCCCCACCAGGACTCCATGACCCCCATAGGAGCACAGAAATGGAAATACAGCAGAGCCCACACAAAGGCACTAATCTGCAGGGTCAGACCAGGACACTCAATCCTTTCAGAAAGACACGGATATGCAAGTGTGCAGAGTGACAACCTGAGAGAAGATGTGAAATTGACTGTGCAGCTGTCCCCACCATGTGGTAAGAACTGTATATACTTTGCTATGTCATCCTCCCATTTCACAGATGGGCAAAGTGAGGCTCTGGGAAGCTAAGCACTTGCCCAAGATCACACAATTAAGGGTAAGACTGGGATTGCAGCCTTAAACATTGGTCCATGTTATGCTTTTGGACACAGATCTGGTTCTAGGCAGACCCTCCTGCTTCAAGGTATTGTAATGGGCAGACCCAGAGTGGACAAGAGTTTCAGATTCAGAAAAACAGGGTCAGGAGCATGGTGTGGTTATCCCTGGACTCATATCATAGAGGCACCTGTGCCAACCTGTACCCTGAATTTTTGTCCCAACCCTAGTGAAGTGCCAGGTAAGGGGAGAGAAAAGCGTCTGATCCTTGCTCCTGTTAGCCTACAGACCTTCGGAACTCACCAGACCCCTAAACACCAATTTAGCAATGTCAGGAACATTGTCCAAAAGGGAAAGGGGCTGGGCTGAAACCACAAAGCAATTCTGGGACTTAGGGACCTTACTCACCCCACCCACCCCCTGGTCTCTGCTCTGTTCAAGGACCAGGGGAACTCCAGAACAAGGGGATGGGGATGAATGGAGCCTGGAAACCCCCAACCCCATAGGGAGAGTGAACACAAGGGCCTTAAACTCAGTGTCCCTCCCCTCCTGGGCCACTGCCTGCTGGAACCCAGTGTGGGGGAAGGGCAAGTAGTGGGAATGGAGCTTAGGAGAAAGTAGGGCCCAGAGCTGAGAGGTGGGGTTACACCAGGAGCTGAATGTTGGTTGTTAGTTAGGCTGTATGTGTGTGTGTGTGGTCATGGCTAGTTCCCACATCTGAGTCTGTACACCTGTGTGTGTGTGTGTGCTCCTATGTGCCTGTGATGGTTTTCACATGTACCTACCCATCTGCGCCTGTGTTACTATGCCCCCTGCCTGTGTGTATGCCTGAACATTCCTGAGTCTGTCTGTAACTCTGGAGATTGTGTTTGTCTGTCCGGGAACAGGACTAGTTACTGCTTCCTTGTGTGTGTGTGTACTCGTGCCCCTCTGTGTGGCCCATGGGTGCCCTCACACTACTGCCTCCATGTGGGTGTTTTGTGTGTGTCTGGGTTTCCGTGTTCCCCAGGGACCCTCCTGTTTCTGAGGTTGTTCCCGGAGTGGGTGCCTGACCCGGCTTGTCTGTGGACCAGCAGCATGCCACTGCGTGTCTCTGCCTGTCCTGGTCCCTGCGTGTGAACATCTGAGAGAAAGTGTGTGTGTGTGAGGGAGAGAAAGTGTGTGTGACCCTGTCTGAGGAGTTGTGAGTGTGAGGGGGAGTGAAGGGCTTAGGGAGGGA